CATGATTCTCAAGGGCTTCCATGTGATGCTCCAGATCTCTTCTAGCAAGGATACCCCCATATATGTTAGGATGTAAAGTTTTAACACAACCATCAAGCTGTGCACGATTAAAAATGAGAAAGTAAATAAAAGAAATAAATCCTACTGTTCTTAGATGCCACAGCTAAACTAAATTCTATTTAAAAGTGCTAGAGCAATAATATACTAGTGATTTCATCCAACAAATTCTGAAGTGACTTTGTAAACTTAAAGAATGATGATATCAACGATTTCTACGGTAGCAGCTAACAATAATATATCTGTGACATTCGAAGTTAACCAGTTTTTGTAATATACATCACACATGAGCATGATGGTACGGTCAAACATACTCTCAAACTTGTTATAAATGCACTCAGAGACACGAACTCACGAGCTAGTGGCATCAAATGTTAATATTATCTTTCCAGGGAATCAATGTATCAAGAAAATAAACTAAGAGGAGAAAAGAAAGTGGAATATCACATTAAGGAAAGAAGGCAAACGTTGAAACAAAGAAAAGCAGGTGGATAATGAAGGAAAATTATATATTTTCTCTTGTTTAGCAGTGGAGCAGAACTTTAGAAACAACATGCAACAGAATTTTGCAAAGATAAAACACCAGAAGGGGGCAGCCAATGACTAGAGATACTAATGTTGAATAAAGCAGCAGAAGAATTGACTTACCATTTCGGGGAAACTCGTAAGCTCTTCAACTCTGGTCACAGTCACCCCAGAAGATTCCAGAGTAGATGCTGTTCCTCCAGTGGACACAATAGTGAATCTACAAATTCAAAGACAGGTTGTAAGAAGAAACGCTATCAGATGCCAACTAAAAAATGGGGACTGAATTTTCATTTAACATGTGAATATCATGCAAGGTATATTTTAGAAGTAGCCAAACAATTGAATTGTGATGCAACACATCATATTACATGCCCAGATTTGTATAACGCACTCCTGGATCTCTGCACTTGCACTACCCAAAGAAGAGAAATTCTCAATAATTCAAATTCTTCAACTTCAACGTCCATGTATCACTATAATCCCTCCCACTGTAGCACCACAATCAACATGCTCATATGAGAACTATGAACATTCATCTTGACACTATTATCTCAAGGTCCTACTCTCTCAAGTAACGCTATAAATTCCACATAAAAGTCACATTTAAATTCTTTCGCTATTGTTTTCACGGGGGAGGGGGGGTAAAATCAGTACACTGCATTCTAAAATTAAGTTTTAGCTATTATTACAGGAACCCAATAATCCAGGGAGAGTAAACGTCCAGACAAAATTACTAAGATAAAACCTGTTATATTCTATCTAATTTTGAGAAATCATTAATGACAAAAATTCTTAATTAAACATTTTTTTACTAAAAATCAATCACAAAAACACCTCTGAGTAAATTTCTTGTCCTTTTCTCAGTATACATCAATAGAAAATGCAAAAGCAAACACATATAGATAAAGTCTCTGAATGTGTGTGATATCTAACCCCAAATCCTGTAGTCCACAGCCAAGCGACGTTAAATCCCTCGTCTGATAGTGAAATCAATGCTTGCCTCCTCCCTGACAATAGAGTACATCCAAGCAATTAGTAAGTATGTAGGCACGAAAAAATTATCAAACAAGTGCCACAAGACAGTACCAGCAAAAGAATGATTCGAGCTTCGGAATGGAAAGAGTATCCGCCATCGCTTTAACTCGATAGGAAGCTAACTTCAACGACACTGCTGACAACTAAATCCCCACAATTCAAAAATTACTAAGCCAGATACCAGAAAAAAAAAATTAAGCAGAAGAATAACAATTAGTACCGGTTGATTGTAGGTAGAGAAAGTTCCGGAAATAGAGTCGAGTGAAGAAAAGGCGGAGGAGAAGATAAAAGAGTGCGCGGCGTTGGCAAGTGAAGTAACGGCGACGGGATCGGCGGCAAAACCCAGCATTTTTTGGGGTAGGCTGCGGTTTCTCAGCTAAAGATATCTGTTTTAGTATCTGAGCATACACTAATGAAAACGGTGCAATTTTCAGGTAGAAAAAAATTGGTCACTAACTTGGTTTCAAATTTGGTTTCTCAACTTTAATATATTTGAAATTAGTCATCTATCTTTAAGTTTTGTTTCATGTTAATCACTAAACTTTAATTTGTTCTAACTTTCACGAAATTTCAGTTTTAAATCAAACAACCATATATTTTGTTATCTTGGAGAGAGGACTACGATATGAACTTATTAGACTGATGCTAATTCAAGTAGACAATTTTTGAGTTGTAAAGAGATAAAACGTATTGCCACGACAAATTTTATGAGCGACTAATATAGAACAAAACTTTTCGAGTTGCACTCATTATCTATACTCTCGTGTCCATCTTCAACCTTCGAGAAAGAACTAAATTCTAGTCAACTCCACCCGAGAGTCTTCGACTTTTGAAGAGTCGACCATGTCAACTCCACGAGTAGGGTAGTGACACGTAAAACAATTAGCTCATATTTGATGACTATCTATTACTATTATCCATATATTTCGTAAAACACGAGTACGGAAAATTTGAACATAGATAAGCTCTCAAGACCATTATATAAGATAGTGGCTAAACCAATAGGGAGTCAAAGTTCGACCAATTCAATCAAAACTCACCGTGCAAGGAAAAAAGAACGTACATGAAATAACGCCGGGGAATACCCAAAGAAATACATATTTATATACAAAAGCCATTTCGAGGACACGTCAATAAACTTGCAGCACATAAAATTTAAACCAAGAAGCACGAGTATCCTCCTCATTACAGATTTCTTCAAGCTACATGTGATCCAAACAAGCAAGCATCAAAAGATTCCCTAGACAAACACAAATATAACAAACTAATACTATGAAGCAATCCTAAATCCTTACGGTACCCTGTCCCTAGTAAATATACGAGAAAAAAAAAAAAACCATCCAGTTGTCTCACCAGCATACTCTTCGCCATCTCGTGCATACCTCAACTGGCAGCTAAAACAATTGCAAGTCATTGTCGACTTCATCTTCCATTTCTCTTGATTTTTCCTCGAACATTTTTAATTTTTATTGTAGCTAAAGATGGACAGCAGGAATCAGTCGTCGGACCCCGTAGTCAAGGATTGTTCTTCAGAGCTGATGGCAGCATCAGGAACCAGCTTGTCAGGTTTCACTTCAGGGAGGGGAAGTGAAGGCTTCTTGGCTTCCTCAATCGTATAGATGTAAATCTTCCTCACTATTGTGCAGAATTCGCTGGGTACATCACCAAAATCATGTAAATATAAATGTCGAAGAATAAATTCAAATAAATAATGTATCCAAGAATAAATTCAAATAAATAAAAGTATCCCTTTTTTAATAGTTAATAAGCTTTAGATAATGTGGTTCAAACCAACACCCATATTCGAATATTGTACTCGTGTCTGGCATTTGATAAAAACAAATGAAACCAGTCTGCACCTGAGGGAACGCGTCAAAGATTAACTTTAAATAAATACACGTTTCCCACTTAACAACTTAAGCTCTTAGAAGAGACATTTAACAAAAAAACAATATTAGCACAGCAGAGAAGCACAATGCATATCTTTAACTGCAAACCATAATATGACGCTGAAAAATAGCTATAATTAGTTGTATTCATTTATTACATAGTTGATCTCGTTAGAATAATTATAGGAGATGTTCAAGCATAAGGGTTCCTTCATTGTATAGTTGACCTAATTTGCATAATCCTAGGAGGGAGATGTTAGAGCATAATTAAAGGATATATGCTAGGAAATTGATAGGTTTTCATTGGTTATATTTTGGTATGGTAACTTTCAAAATTCATCAACGAAAACATGAAATATATGTAAAATCACAAAATTCCACACACAATGCCCCTGTTTGGCGGCCTCCATTTCTTTAAATTCATTTTTTTTTTCCCCAAACTCATTTTCATCTATACATTAAATGGGACACAACTTTTATGAACTTTTCAACCACTTTTCATCAACATTTACCAAAATCTACTAACAAATTGTTTTTTTTATCAAAACCAAACAGGGGCCATATAACATCCCCCGTGATTTTAAGGCACTATAATCTACTGCTAAACTATTTATTTTGAATATATACAAGTGTTCAAGTGCCTCACTCCTAAAGTTGGAAGAAATACAGAAGCAGAAAAGCAGCAAAACATTTAGGAAGAGGGGGCGAAAAAGGATTCAGAGAATTGACTTAACTGCCATGGATCATCTCCAACCATCATCATGTCATTCTCGTCATCTGTGTAGACAACCTTCCATTTCTTTCTCGACCCACAGAGTTCCCCTTCAATCTCAAACATCATTTCAAATTTTTTGAGAAGATCATCATAGCCATCAAACTTGGTTAGATCAACTGCCCTCCCAACCGCAATGCCTTGCATATGAACCTAAAGGAATTAATATGCCTTATGTCAACAGTTGGGTAAAAAGAAACTTGAGATGAAATGATTCCTTTTTTCCAGGAAAGAAAAAAAATGCAAATAAGCTGTTGCATAAATGTCTAACATCTGAACCAGCAACTATCCAAAGATATGACATAAATAAAAAATAATATATCTTACATTCGATTAAGCTCAACATAACACTCAATCCTCAAAGCATCAAAGAAAATGGATACCAACAGGAAGGACATATAGACAAGTACACCATACAACTATGATGCTCAGACTCGGGTACGCATCTAAGTGTCAAATCTTTTATTTTCTAACATGTAAGATATGAGAACATGGCTAAAAGGAGTCCAAATTTTGGACACGGATAAGTGAGTATGTCTTTCAAACTTCATTTTTTTTACTAATTCAAGATGTCATTTTGGATACACCAAAATCAATTGTTCACAAAGGAAATGAGGATTGAATAAGGTGAGGCTAAGACGAATAAAATAGAATTTTAGGGTTTAGTTTTCAATTATGGAAATTACTAGATGTTATATAAAATAGAAAATGAGGGACTTGATTGCAATTTGGACTTAGCACTAAGTAGCATTATATGGAACCAATTTTCATTTTATATAAACAAAATCATAAACCACTGATACGGAGAAAGAAGGAAAAAAAAGAAGAAAATGGAAAGAAAAAATAAAGAAGAAAAAGTAGGGAAAACCTAGCTCTTCCGCCTTTCTCCACAGAAACAGGAAAGAAGAAAAGGAAAAGAAAAAAAAAAAAGAGAAAGCAAAAACGACGAAGTCTCCAGTTGAAACTTGGAGGATCCAACACATATTCCATACCCATACCCATGTCTTGTTGTGTCCGACAAGGGTACTCCAACTATTTCGAAGAGTTCGAGCATCAAAGCCATACAAAATATAATGTAAACTTCCAAAATTATGAATTTCTATACCATCTAACAAATGAGCATGATTGACAAGTAAATGCATTAGAAAGTTCAAATGTCTATAGTATGTATGAATATATCATAAAAGGTAACAACTAAATTTTGATTAACAAAAAGTTGCTCATAGATCATTGGAGCCTCTAATTTTTTGCATCCAATAAAGCACTTTGAACTAAGGCCAAAGTACCTTGGTGCAGCTTCGAATTTGCCTGCTTTGTGGTTCGTGGGGAGATCTTAGGCATGACTTTTCAGGCTCAAAACTTTCTGAAGGAATATCAGATGGATTATGGTTTGATGGCTCAGAATTTTTTTCAGATTCAGCACCTGAGGCTGGAATTTGAGAATCCTCTTTCGTAACCCCAGACACAACTGCTGGTGCAGTGTCTTCAACTGTTGAACTGTCAAGCAGCTCAATCCCAAAAAGCCTGCAGCAATTGGCCTGTCTCTTTTCACTAACTGGTGTAAATGAATCTGCAGCAGTTTCTACTTGATTGCTCTGGTACATTGAATTGCTAGAAACTGGATGCATGATCTCATTGTAACTCAGATTGCTGACTATGGTACCAGAACCAAATCTAGGCGATTGATGGATGTCTCGTCCACGTGATGGATCACGATAGGAGAATGCTGAAGTGCAGTCAACTGGCGATTTCCACGTACCTATGAAAATCAAAGAATTGTTTATCAAAAAATGTTCACCAGGATACCCTATAAGTATTACTCAAGAAAGAGTTATACCATGTGAAGAAAGATCTTGCACTGACGAAGGCACAATAAGGGGTCGTGCCCGCTTATTCCTTTGTGGGGGCTGGGAGTTTGGTGGAGGTGTTGCAACAAGTGGTTCTATCTCCCATGGTGAAACTCTATCTGGACGCAAAATTGAGGCAGGTTCATCCCATTGAACCTGTATAAGCACACGAATCAATGCACAAGTTGTGATGATTTTTATCCAAAAGCCCTCCCAATAGTTTTTATTATTATTATTATTATTTCAAGATTCATTTCCACAAGATATGCAAATAGAGCATCGAAATCTTCTCTGCAGAAAATGCTATGAAAAATGTAAAGTTTCCGCCCGGTGCTGTAACTTTAGGACATATGAGTCAAAACTTCAATGGAACGTGGAACTTGCACGACCCAAACTTGTATATATGCCAGAATAGAACCAGTTAATAAAGTTTTTCACCTTCAAAGATCTCCATTCTGAATCAGGCCACCTAGATGAAGCATTATCCTCAAAGCCAACGATTGTCCCACTGAACCTGTATAAAGATGCAAAATAAGTAAATAACCCAACAAAAATTATTTCTGATATACTTTCAAAGAAAAGTAAGTTCACCAAATCATCAGCAATAGTCATACCTTCTTTCTGGAACCTCTTCACCCTCAAATCTCATCTTAAACCTCATCCCAACAGAGAGCNATATATATATATATATATATATATTCAAATTGCTGGAATCGTTACTGTCTTAGTGAATTAAACTCGTAAATATATTGTTTACGGGACTATGATCCGATATACAATGAGAAGCATAAAGTGGAAACATAAACAATTGTGCCACTTCTTACCAATGCCATTTAAGGGAAAATTGGTTCGACCAAGGTTTCAGAGCCAAATTAGAAATATTAATTTGCTAGGACCACTATAATGTACAAACTTTTCAATGCTAAATATTGCATGCTTCTTTTAAAAGATCACGACAAGCAATTGGAAGAGGAGACAACCTTGGTTTATAGTAAACTGAAATTGAAAAGAAGGTCCCATTAGAGATAGCATGCGATGCCGTAGCAAGAACACCTATATGCATGCTGTGACTTTATATAACAGAGGACGTCATATAATTTAGTTGTCTCATAAGCCTGCGCACCCCAACTCGAAGCTCCCCATTTTCTCCTCTGTTCAAAGAGAAATAAAAGAATGTGATTACTGTGTAAAAACACGTACAACTATACCACAACACCGATGAACACGATTTATCTTTTTTAAAAAAAAGCATACCCTCCCCCAACGCGAGAAAAGTCAAGAGACTGCAATCTCCACAAAATTATGAAACTTGTCATGATCATGTACATACCTTAAGAAAATAAAAGCATCTCCTGCAACTAACTTTTTGGCACTAACATAGCCACTCCATCCAGTTGTCAACAAGTGGCGCCTTGGTTGACCTACAATTGTGTCAATATGCATCAAAATCATATAAAAAGGGATTAAAACAAAAACAATCCCAATATAAACTAGAACTATAGATGAAATGGAAATGAAATTAGAAATATGCTACCAGTGCAAAATTATACAGAGCAGTAGTATTTCAAGTGTAGGCAAGCAGATGAAGATTTTGAGGAGTCATTAGCCATTTCAAAACCTTCTCCTTCAGGAAGAGGGGGAAATGACCCAAAAACCATGTTAGCTAACAACCAAAAGCAGTAGTAAAGAAAGATGGTGTCCTAATAAAGGCAGACAAACTTTCCTTTTAGTGACTAGGATCCAAGAAAAAAGAAATTTAAGTTTGTACTGTTCCACAAAAGCGCAAGCAAAATGGAGATCGGCTTGTGATAGCAGATACAGCCTCCTTAAATAGAGAGCCGGACATATGTAAGCAAACCTGAGTCAGATTACACAAAGATAGTTGCTCTCCTAATGAAACATGCTGGTTCCAAGAATCATTGACATAGGTTCATTCGCTCAACAAGAGAGCAAGCGGAGAGCATGATTTTGAATTAATGAGAAAATCCTACATTACTTCGCACTTGCTAGATGATGCACTAGGCAGTTTCATAGACAAAAAACTAAGTGCATGTGCTTGGATGTATTAACCTGAAGAGAAGGTACACAATTAGAGTCATAAAAATTTGAAAAATGGTATCACACGCCAAATGCACTCGTGACAATCCTGGGTTGCATTTCTATGATGTGATTCTCAAAGACTTTACTCCCTTCATGGTTTGTGATCATGCAACTTAATGTACTTAGCTTGCCAATCAGTTCTTCCCAAGTCAGATTCTAACCTCTGAAAATGTGACGAAAATGCCATTCATGGCCATGAAGATCAGTGGCGACCAATTCCTGCCATGGTGGCTGCAGGGACATATCCTGAATATGAAATAAAAGTCAAACATAGCAGGAGAATAATGCGAAATACAGTAGCAGAAAATAGATGCATTAGATTCTAAAGTCAACTAGAATCTTACCAATGGAGGTAAACAATCATCTGCATGCCTACGTAAAACAGAGAACCCACCATGGGTGCTTGTATCAGATGCAGTGAGAGTCTTGCAAAATGAGTGAACAGTGCTTCGTTGAGGTTCTGGTAGAGGGGGATCTGGGCTTGTGATCTCAGTTTGCTGATGCCCCAAAGATTATTTAAAAAAAAAAAAGGCAAGTGCGAGAAAAATATAAGCAGAAATAAAAGGGGAATGAAATGAAATTACTAGATTAGAAATTACGAGATGTCAGATCTTGCACAGAACCTAAAATTTAGATTAGTAGAGACCGAATAGTTATCAAGTTTAACGGACTTCACCTGTTCAGGTAGCAGAGTTATCTGTGCGTATACCTCATCTGTTTCTGGTTCAGCCTACAACCCAAATGGACAGTAACAAACAAATCAGTGCAGAAGAGATAAACTGAAATTCCTGGAGTAGGAAGACAAAGTCCACTTGTAAAGAGAAAAAATCTCATGAATCCTTACCCGAAGATGAACATACATCACTTTGCAAAGAATTTTATCCGGTAAGTCGAACGAAGGAAGCTGCTGGTCAAATCCTTGTTGTGTTGATGCTTCAAGCTATACAACAAACCAATATCAATAATTTAGTACATTTGGAACATAAGTAATACGATAGAAATTTGAAAATCAGAGGATTTCACGATTTGAAACTTCCTTTAAGAGTGGGACGTGAAAAGAAAGACATCCCCATTAAGACCAGAACAAAAAGGGAAATGAAGAAAATATTCCAAAAGAGTACGATAAGTTGTCATACATATGTAACAACGAAAAACAAGAGGTACACTAGTTGTACACGAGGAAGAATACAAAGTCCACATTTACAATGAAGCAAACACGTTCAAAATCCAATATGCAATCATTTACGCACGAAACAAATCTAACAGCAAAAGAATTTTAAGAATAAAGTGGGAAAAGGAAGGAGGACAAATATGGCCATACCTGTTCCATGTGACCCTGTGGAAAGTAATAAACTCGTTCCCCTTCACGTGGAACAGTAACAAGGGGCCCAGCACAGGCATGCCAAAGTTCTTTATATAAAGCATCATTTGGGACCCCTGTAATATAACAAGGCAATACACGGTCAGGAAAAATATTATATATAAGGAAAGTAAAAAAAATGAAAGTACACTTGCATATAGTTAGCAAAGTCATAAAATGTGGATAGTTTATTATTATAGCACTATCTCGTATCACGCAGATTAGGGGTATACATATTAAACTCGAAGCGTCTCTGCCTTTGAGAACATGTTCCCACATTTTGAACACTACTAAAACACTACTAAAGTTCTTTCAACGTTTCTTTTCTGTAATAAAGGGAAACAAAACATGCTTGTTGGCAAACCCACTACAGGCCACAGACATAAACAAGATTAATTGCAAATCATTCATGGAGGCAAAATTTACGGTGACAAGCTAACTTGCATTGGTGTCAATGGCCGTATCACAGCCTAGACCTTGACTGCACCAAGCAGTCCCAATATCAACCTCCACTAATGGCCCTCAGTTGCATGCACGATATCTAGTGGCGTAGGTTTTTTATTTAAAAAAATGTGTAAATATTTGTAATTTTTCCTCTTTCTTCAGATGTATCTTCATGTCAGTTAGATTTTCTTCTCCTAAGTTTACTGTCGGGAAGTACTGAGTATCAACGAAGTTGTTAGCAAGCTAGCGTTGCTGTCCTTGGAGTTGGCCCTTCCTCCAGCATGGTAATCAGCGTTCTATTTATTCTCAATAATCAATAAAATGAGTTCACTTCTGGATATGCCTTTTGAAAGATTTTTTACTACATTTGTACATATATTTGCAATCAAACTCTCAATTCTAATCAAATTAAGTTCGGCGGAAGAAGCCTAAGGGAGAAGTGCATGTGGAGCCCTTTCTGAGCTTTATGAGAGTCGACATGTGACATTAGGTAATTGCACAAAAATACATGTACTTCTATTACTATAACAGCATAAAGATTGTAGCAGAACAATGACGATTGTGTGATCAGCTTCACATCATCCACAACAACGCTAAAAAGAAAAGTTAAAAAAGGAAATTTACAGCTTCATCATAGTCATGAGAAAATTAAGTGAAAATCATGCAAAATAAAATATTAACACAATACATTTGAGTCTCAGACTTCACAGTCGACAAGTGGTACAGTCAAATGGAAAGGAGAACAGAATGTCTCTGAAGTAACGCTCCTTTAAGCAAAATCAAGCAAAAAGATATTCGAATACATGTAACCACCACAAAATAAGAAAGACGCATTTAGGTTATTGATTGAAGTAAAAACCTAGGAATACTAACTATCCCCTAAGTTTATCATTTACACAATAACTATAAGATGTCAAAAGAAACAAGTCAAACCTGGAGGAGGTCCACCGCCAAAATGATTTGCAGCAAGGTGTGCCATGAGAAAACCAATTCAATATCCACTGAGTTCCAAAGCTATATATTTGATAATTTCTTTCAATTAATGAGCAAATCTCCGTTCTGTTGAAAACGGGTGGTGTCAGCAGATAAACTCACCACCAACTGACGGATATCTATTAAGGAAAATAGACATGTAACTGAATAGCTTTTTATACCCCAAATTAGTAAAGCCCTTGAATGCTCCTTAAGATTTTGCCTTTATGGACTGAAATGCAGCAAAGTTTGTCTTATCCACAATTTCTCTATGCACTAATCACCCGAAACGCGTGACCCTTCCACTGTTAGACAAAGCTTATCATTATACCCTTAAATTTTGGATACCTTTCTCGGTGAAGTGGAATCAGCCAGATTTTTCTTCCCACTTCCAAAATAAATTTTATACTAATTCAATAGATAAAAACGATTACATTTTTAAAACCCAATCCCTGGACTAAAAGATATTATAATAATAATTAAACATTAGTCGATCCGAAAAAGAATTTTCCAAGTAAATACATCAAACTTCATTCATTAGATCATAGATAAACAGACAAGATAAACAGGAAGTTTTGTATACGTTACTGAATATGTTTTCTCCGATTCCAGAAATTTTTCATTATATTAAATAGATAAAATTAAAATAAATACAACTTCTTTTTCAATCCACCAAAAAAAATTTCTTTTTTCATACGATTTATAAATAATTAAAAAAAAAAAAAACTATAGATACAGCTCTAATTCAAGTTTTATGCTTAAACCAGAAAACGTAGTCAAAAGTTTACAGCTTACACTCCAGAAGACTCTTGGATCAAATGCAATAACCAGCACTTTAAAGAGATCCAAACTATAAAGAAAATCTATAAAGCTTTAACGCGTTATTTATAGCTCCGGGAACCTAAGCCTTAAGAAATTCAACGTTTTCCTTGCACATCTCTACATATATATTCGTTATAAAGTATTTTAAGTATGTATAGTTTTGCGGAGACAACCAATCGGACAAGAACGAATCAAATACTAAAATTATCAAAGGAAGTTTAAGACATACCAAAACAGCAGATGTTTCTCCACCACGAATTTGATTTACAGCATCGAAATCCTAGGGAAATACGCCGTTTCCATATTTACCCCCAAAATTATCCCGAACCATCTCTTCCACTATAAAAAGCAGCACAAAATATAATCCCAAGCTTAATTTTCAAATAAAAAAGGAAAAAAAAAATCAGCTATTAAAATTATTCCAATAACAAATTGGGGATTTATGAAGAATTCTAGAGAGAGAAAGATGAAGAAAGATGGGAGATGGATGGTCTTTGCCTGGTTGAAGCCGACAGTCCTTTTCTAATCTCTCTCTCTCTCTCTAAAATTATATATATATATAGGGCTTGTGTGGGAGGGATTAAAATCAGATTAAAATTGAAAATATAGCCGTTATTGTTGACTTTTATTAGACGAGTGGGGCCCAATAACGGTCATATTTTCAATTTTAATTGACTTTTAATCCCTCCCGATTGGGGGAGCGATGAAAATCAGATTAAAATTGAAAATATAGCCGTTATTGTTGACTTTTATTAGACGAGTGGGGCCCAATAACGGTCATATTTTCAATTTTAATTGACTTTTAATCCCTCCCGAACGGGGCCATAGTGTATGTATTTCTCTCTCTCTGAAATTATATTAATACTTTTTATTTTATTTTTTCTGAAAATGTTGGATTATATAGCCTGTTTTACTCGATAAAATTATAATACTTTTTTTTTTAAATCATACGTTCTTTAATAAAATAATATTTTATATATATAAATCAAAAGAAATTCTTTTTTTAACCATTTATTTTTTAAAAAATTATTATTATAAAATTATAATTTCAAATAATAGAGGCTGAGATATAATAAATAATGGTGTCAAAAGGGGGGAATTTGAAGAGGCGGGATAGGGTGCGCAATGCGCACATGGTGTAAGTAAGTAATAATGGGGAGGGACATGACATAGCCAAGGTTGCCCCTGGAATGGGTACAGGTTTCCCTTCCTGTGTCCACGCGCGGAAAGCGAATATTAGATTCAACGCTTTGGGAATTGAAATTTTCTGCTTTTCTTAATTAAGCATTAATTATTGTTGCTTTTGTGTGACAATTACTTAATTAGATACAACTATGCATCATAATGCAATACCGAAATTGGCATATAGTCAATACTTGTAGCAAATTCAAGTTGATTGTCATCTATGTTTTTATCTTTGATTGATCCGCAATTAAAACCTTAAACATAAAAATCTATTACGATCGACTCGTATAGAAGTTAATAGTTTATTTATTTATAGGAACAATAAAGTTACTTTGTCAGAAGAATTTGACAGAAAGCTTGACGTAATTGCACGTGACAGTAGATAATTTGATGAAAATGTTGATTGTATTTTAGATTGTCCAATGATAGAAGTGTCACGTAATATTATGTCAAACTTTATGTCAACGCTGATGTTTATGTAGCATAAACCAATTATCTATTGTATACTCTAATTAAGTTAAGAATTGTTGACTCATTTGAAACTAATCATATATTTTTATTTGTATTTTTATTTTTTTGAATAATAGTTGTTGCCCATCATATTTTACATTTTTTTTATAGATTGATGAGATGTCAAAAAGAAATTGGAGAATTTTTTTCTTATTATTATTTGGTTGACGAGATTTTGACCCGATCAAATATCGCCACATTATCTGTTAATAAATAAATTTGTAAATTGTGATTTACATATAGTACAAAAGATTTTTTTTCCTTATTGCATGTTGAATTTGAATGATCAATTGTGCCTGATGTTACCAAAAATCGCATATGTTGAAGCACGCACGTGATCTTTCGATACCTGAAACAAAAGCGTCGAATCGTGTTCTCATTGCCCCTACGATACTTAAGTAAGAGAGAGAATATGAAAGAGTTTTGGTGTTGAAATTGTTTGTAAAAACGTACATGTATAATGATCTATTGTTTCATATTTATAGAGGTAGGTAATGTATTCATAGTAGGACTTGGCATCAGAATTCTAATTGGAGCAAGTGTTGGACCACAATTATAAGTCTAATCACACATTAACTCTAGTTTTTTCCAATGTGGACTCCTTCTAGACTTAGGACTCTTGAATTAAAGTATTTGGATATGGTTAGAGTTTTTAAGAGGTGGGAATTATTCGCACTTGAGTATGAAGGAAAATTTGGCTAAGGAAAGGACATGAGAACTCGTACCTGAGGATAGCCAACGTAAATGTCACGAACACTCACCGGAAGTCCTCAAGGTATCTCGAGGATACACTGATAGTCGAGCACATTGGTCCCATGATTGTGAAAAAGAGCCCTGGGAGTCCTCGTGCTCGAGGTGCATCTTTTGTGACCATATCAATGCCGATTAATATGTTCAATATATTTTTTTAGTGTAAGTCATACACATACTAGTTCGATGCTTCAAACGTGGAATTATTGTAAAAGTATTGACAATACTTGAACGAGTAATGTCATTTGAGATAGTTAATTAGTCCAAATATTTTGTAGTATTCTTAATTTCATGTAGAAATATTGACGTTGTTGATTGACAAATGTGATGGTTTGTATTTTTGGAGTAGAAATTAAATTTACTCTTTTGTCCAAGGTTTCTCTCTCAAAATTTTAATGAACATGTCACTGAAATAATTGAACTCATACCCTTTTGTACGCTCTAGAAATACATTTAATAATTAATTATTCAAAAATAGTATGAAAGTATTCTAATAGAAAGCATATTTTTTTGATCGGTAATAATAGAAAGCATATTTGGTCATATTAGTCAAGGTTAAACGTGTATTGCACGTTATTTCAAAATACTTTATAAGTACTATAAAAATAATATTTGATATCCATTTGTTTTGGGTTGTTCTTTTTGTTCAGTTTTGTGTTTTAAGTTTTGAATTCATTTTGAGTTTTGTGTTTTGAGTGTCCATTTTGATATTGTTGAAAATGTGTTCTTTTTGGTATTTAAAAAATTATTTTGAAAACACTCAAAACGACAAATTTTGTCATTTTGGATTTTCTTTGTAAATTTTTAACTTGTTTTCAAAAACGCGCTTTTAAAAATAGGAAAGAGAACGTATTTTCACTATTTTGGAAAATCGAAAAAAGAAAACGGTTTGAAAAGAGTAAAGAGAACATACCCTAAAATAAGGTTGGACAAAACTCCCGAACTGAACAGGACTGAACCAAACTAAATCAAATCGAGCAGTTCTTTATAAGTTAAATACCCGAACGGATATTTAAATCGAGAATCGACGGGTTTGGTTCGATTCTCATTTCTAGTTCCAGAACCGAATAAGAACCAAATTTAAATATTTTTCAAAATTTTTAAATTTAATTATTTAATTTTAAAAAAATAAATTAGCAAATTAACTAATTTAATGATTGATGTTCTAACTCTCAAGTCAAGTCCATGCCTAGCTAGCGCAACCTAATACAATTTCTAAATTCAATTTTTTGGTCATATTAATAATTTCATTCTTAGCTCAAGATGTATGATTTTTTAAGTTTTTATCATTCTCTTTCCAATTTCACACCTTCATTCGGTAACCACTGAGTTAATGACCCCAAATCATTTGATAAATTGAAAATCTACATCTACATGCCCAAATCAAAAGCGCAGATTGCCGAGTCCGAATTCCCCTCTCAATGCCCTCGAAGTCGCGACCTCCAACCACGACCACTGATCGTTGACTATTAAAAATCAGTTAAAAAATTAATTATAGTACGAAACCGAACTGAAATGAACCGAACGGAACCGAATGCGAACGATCCCATAATTATATTTGGACCAGACGGTTCCATTTATTAAATACCCGAAAATTTTGGTTCGGTTATCTTCTGAATCGAATCGAACTGGATCGTATCCAGCCCTACCCTAAACTTTTATAATTCAAATTTTTTGTGATGATAAAATACTACAAATGAGCAACATTTTCATACTATATTTGGTACATAAGAATTAATT